TACACACATCTTGTCACCTCAGGCCTCCACCTTCTCATTCCCTGTTTTTGAAGAACTAAAAAACATCCAAGTTGTTTGTTATCAGCTGCAGTGCTCCTTGATAAAGATACAAAATTAAAATGTCCTACAAATAACCATCCTGGATAGAACATCTCTGGAACTTTGGGACAAACTGTAGGGGTGGACTGCCCACAGGACGCGTGTGGATGCCTGTCCCGCAAGTGGAGGGTGCCCCCCGAGATTCCTGCTTGGGTGCAGGGCCCACCCTCCCCGAGTCCCCGGCACCAGAGACCCCGGTCTCCTCCCATCACCGACACACTGCTGGGCACGGAGTCAGGAATAAAGGTCCCTCCAAAGACGCCCCCTCTCTGCGTGAACTGGACGGGCCGCCTGCGGCGCCCAGCTGCAGACCTGCCTTCTTGGGGCGTGAGGCGGCCTGTCTGCTGGGGACAGTCCAGCTCCGACCCAGAGGCCTGGCCAACTTCCTCCCGAGTTGCCAGGGCAACAGCCCTGGCAGCTTTGGGGCCAAAAATCGCTTAGAACATAGGAGCGCGGTGGGAAGCAGGACCACGCCCGCCTCCCAGCCCACAGGGAGCAGCTATTTCCTGAGACCGAAGGGACGGGCCTCCTTGTCCCCTCCTCTCCGGAGAGGGATGCCCTCCGCCCAGCCAGCCTTCTGCCCACGGGGTTCTGGGCCCGTGGCCTCGGGGACACGAGGTGGCCCTGGGAGAGCAAACAGCACTCTCGCCCAGCCCTGGGGCAAATTATTAAAAATTCACTTTTCTTTCTCTCAACTAACGGTTTCTATTTGCTGCTGCCGAGCACTGTGGAAAGGACGGACTCCAGCCCTGAAGCCCCAGGGAAGACGCGACCCCTGGGGGTGCCACAGGCCTGAGGGGGGACGCAGTGACGGGAGTGACCATGTGCGCAGAGGCTCCCCCCACCCCTCCCCCCGCACTGACTCCTCGCAGCAGAGGACGCCGCTCACAGCCCCGGGGGACCGTGACAGACGCCAGTGAGCACGGCCGCCGCGGTCAGGGCTCCCGTGTCCTTGGACAGAGTGCCTGACCCCGTGTGCGGTATAATCTATAAGGCCGTGTTACCTTGCTTCACGGCCCGACTCAGCGTGAGTCACCCATTCACTTATTTATATCCAGGCTCATTCCAGAAATAACATGAAGCCGTTTCTATCATCCATTAAGGGCTGGAGAATTTAATGTAACAACTTAATACAGCAATGTGATAATTAACTTGATATTTAATAATTACAATAAAATATTATAATTAATAAAAACAAAAAGAAGAGACTACACTAATAATCGCCAAAACCCGGAAGCAACTGCAGACGCCCTTCGGAAGGTGATGGATTCATACACTGTGGTGCATCCAGACAATGGGATATTGCTCAGCACTAAACAGAAATGAGCTACAAGCCATGGAAAAGACACAGAGGAAACTTGAGTGCGATTCACTAAGGGCAAGAAGCCAGTCTGAAAAGGCTCCGTCCTGTAAGACTCCAACTTAAGACGTTCTGGAAAAGGCAGAACCATTGAGACAGTACAGACCCGTGGTGGCCGGGAGCTGGGGGGGGGGGGGGGGGGGGAGGAGGGATGTGCAGGCCGAGCACGGGGTATTTCCAGGGCGGTGAGTCTCCTCTGTAGGTAGTGTTACGCCAGATACGTGACATCGTGCGTTTGGGAAAGCCTGAATGCACTCACACCGCCGAGAGTGAGCCCTACTGTCCACTGTGGGCGAAAATGGCGCGTCCACGGAGGTCCCGTGCAGTTAACAGGTGCTGCACTCTGGGCAGGTGTTAAATGACGGGGCAACTGAGGTGCGTCAGGGCAGGGGGTCTAGGGGAGAGCTCTCTACCTTCCTCTGGATTCTGCTGTGACCCTAGAACTGCTCTTAAAAAATAATCTTAATAAAATGAAGGAAGAAAACGTGACTATCTCTCAGAAAAATATGTTAAAAAATGAGTGTTTTCTAGCAATTTCTAACACACGACGAGGGGAAGAAGCCTTTCTTTTCTCTGCCTGGCCTCCTCTGCCCAGAGCTGTCTCCAAGCTGCCCGAGGCCTCCCTTCTCCCAGAGCCTGGTGAATGCTGGGCCCCAGGCGCCCGGATCCCGGAGGCCTTCCTGAAGGGGGCTTTCACTGGACTGTGCCCCCCCCCGGAGCCTGGGGCTAGGGCACCAACTTAGCCAAGATGATTAAAGGCAGCCTTAAGAATGTTACTGGCTCACGGATCAGTTAGGAGTTCGGAGCAGACATTCTGGGAGGCACAAGGAGGCGGTGAGGCCCTCCCCGGCTCTGGGAGCCCCCAGTCACGGAAGCCACAGAGAGCCTGTGTCCTGTGCACGCCAGCCTTCCAGCATGGCAGCAGCCCTGAGGGCGCAGGAACGGTCCCCGAGAGCCACAGGGCCCAGGACCGCAGAGGGAGGCCCGTCCAGACAGGCTCTCACACCATACAGTGGTCTTCACCTCGCGCCTCTCACTAGACACCTGCTAAGAGGACGGAGCCCGGGGGATGAAAATCCTCTGATGGGACGCTCCGAGGGAGCAGCACGGACTGCCGGACCCGGGCAGGAAAGCAAGAAGGCCTCAGGGACCATTTCTCCACTTCCATCCCGGTCCAGACAACTGCCTTGGCTCCCGCTGACCCCGGAGGCCTGGAGACCCACAGCCGCGGAAGACGAAGCTGGGGCACGGATAACAAAATTCAGGCAGCCTCTGCCTGGTTGGAACGTTTATTTTTTAAAAATGAACAGGACGTTACAGTTTTTAAAAGAGGGGTGGTGAACGACATGGAAAATATTATACAATCACCACAGAGACGCCGTCGTGTGCGAGCCAAGTGTGCCGCGGGCAGCTTCCTCACTCTCCGCCACGTGGGCAGGACAGAAAGGAGAGGTGGGGGGCCAGTGCTGGGGTCTCCCCCACCCGGACCCACCCCCGCAGACACGGCCGCCCGAGCTGGCTGGGATTATTCAGTAGCTCGCACCCTTGCTCAAGAGCATCCACTCCAGAAGCCTGGAGGTTTCCTTTATTTGCTGTTTAACTGAAACCTTTATTTTTGCAGGGAAGAGAAAATGAAAGAGAAAAAGGCTCCGAGCCCCTGAGGGCTGGTTCCACTTAACGCTGCTTCTGGGAGGGGCCAGGGGCACAAGGGTGCTCAGGGACAGGTCTGGAGGGGCTCCATGGCCTCCTGCCCTCTGGCAATGGCCGCTCACCACCTGTCCCTCGACAGTGTCCAAGTCCAGGGCCTTGGACACTCGTGTCCCCTGGTTTCAGCAGCACGCCAGCACCCTGCAGTAGACAGCCCTCCAGCAGGACTGCTCGACAGACCCCACACACGTGTGACCCACAGGCAGGGGACCTGACTTCTCTGACCCCGACGTCCACACTGAGCAACACACCAGAGCGCTGGCCTTTCCCACTCACCCACAACTCCCCATTACACTCGATCCCTTTTAGTAGGTTCCCCAGGGTCCTGGAGGCAGGGCACCCCCAGGCCAGCCGGCCCTGGCTTCATCTGGTTCCTGCACCCCCAGGCCCAGACCCCTGCAGCCCCGGGGGCCCTGCACCTCCGAGCCCTGCACCCCTGCTCCTATACCTCAGGCCCTGCACCCCAACCCCAGACACCACCCCAGGTCCCCGCACCCCCGGTCCTGCACGTCCAAACCGCACGCCCGCCCCTGCGTCCCCGGGGCCCTGCGCCTCTCTACCCCGCCCCATCGCCAGCCCTGCAGCCCCGGCCCCGCAGGCTCGAACACAGCACTCCACGGCCCTGCACCCCTCGCCCGCGCCCCCCGCCCAGGCCCCGCGCGGACCCACCTGGGGCAGCAGCGGTGCCTTCATCGCTCTGGTTAAACTCGAAAAGGAAATCGAAGTCGAACTCCTGGTCCTCCTCCAGCCCTGTCATGTTGGGACGGGCCAGGTCGGGTTGGGGTCCGCGGAGGGGCTCGGGTCCGGGGTCTGGGTCAAGGTCCCGGCCGGGTTAGGTCGGGGTCTGGGGTTTCGGGGGCCGGAGTCCTGGCCTGGTCAGGGGCCGGGACCCCGGGTCAGGGTCGGTCGGGGTC